ATTTTTAAGAAAACCGTTTGTCTGGACTTTCCCTTCCAATGTAAGGGATATGAATGACGCAGTGCTATTCCACTCCAACCGGTATTCGCACGCCCCTAATTATTATTTTAAATACTGTGCGCGTTCACGTCGTTTTCCTGCCGCCGTGTGTGTGTGTGTTTGGGGCGGGGGGAGGGGGAGCGATAGCCGCCCCCCCCCCCCCCCCAAACACACACACACACACGCGGCGGCAGGTTGTTTCATCTTCCTCTCCTCTCTAAATAATGACAAAAAAAAATGTATCTGAATTTTTCGAGCAACAAGTTACGTAGAATCGTTTAATATTTTACAACTCAGGCTGACGGGCGAACCCTATTTCTCAAATTTTGAAATTAAAAGGAGTGGCCTTATGACGGGGAGCGCGATATCTGATATCTTGCAAACTTATCAAAGACGCATTCCCTCTTTTGTATTATGAAGTAGGTCTAACCCGTAAACTAGTTAAAAATCCGTTCTGTAGATTGAGAAAACCGCTAAGTCTCAATCATCTTGTCCATCACGTAAAAGGACACGGGAGAAAAACCCTTAAAAAGCGAATAAACCCAGCTGCGTTTGAAATTTTGGTGCCGTCCAGTTCTTTAGTTTATTTCACCGTGTCTAGGGATTTAGATTCTTATGCTTCCTAACCAGCTCGCCTCCATGCTTGCGCTTCTCGAAATTCTTTGAAACGTTAACCCAAGCGAAACTTTATTTTCTTCCTTCCTCCACAACTAGTATTACCATATACTGGTACACCTAATTTTCACGCTCTATCGTCCCAAACGTAGAGAAACAAGATCGATGACTCAATCACACCATCTGCTATTTTTATTGATACTTCACCCTTGAGAGAAACTTTGTGGTACATGACTAGGCAACCCGTACACTCGGTTTTTTTTTTTTTTTTTCTTTTTTTTTATCAATTGTTTAAAACATACAAAAACGATCACTCACTCGCACTATATCTTTTCGTTTGATCTTCACCCCTGAAACTTTCTGGAAAACACAAGCGAGATTGTTTTTAGATAGCCTTTTAAAATAAATAAGTTTACGGAGCTCGTTCTGCGGTCACTATATTTTAATAGCCTGCCCCAAACTTTGAAGTAGATTAAAATCTCTAAAATAAACACGGAAACCTGCATATCCAAGAAGGAGGCAACGCGACCGTAGCGTTAAATTAAATCAGGCGAATTAATTTGATATCAGGCGGCCCTTAAACTGCTGAGTCAGCAGTTCACAGTATCGCCAGATCAGATGGAAAAATTGCACCCGCCTTGCCGACGTTAACGTGATTTTACAAAAAAAAAACTGCATAGTTATCTATAATGAGCAAGTTACAAGGCCAAGCGTATTGAGACGTCGAATCCATCAACTCCGCTGCGTCAATGATTATGATGCCCAGCTTTTGTCTTTTATTGAGACAAGCTTCAAACTTACCAAGACGGCTTTAAAAGTTAACAAAATAGAATACAACTTATTCATTAAAAAAAAAATCATCTAGGGCTTTTATTCAGTGTGTGTACAACCTTTTTATATCACGTCATTGGACATTCTGAAAACGAGGCGCTCTTTAATATTCGAGTACAACCCCAACAACCATCGACATTCATGAATGGCGCATCAAGCCCAGTGCGCTTCCCCGCAACAACTCTTCAGTATGCAGAAGACACTGCATTGTGAGAATAACATATTCGCTACAATGCCTACTGCACAACTCTTGCCAGCCAGCACCACGCGAATAGGTTGTTCTTCTTTTTTCTGTTCGTATTATTGCTGTTCTCTATCCTAACGCTTGTTAACTAATCTAAAACGAATGTATCCCTATACATATTTTCAAAAAATTGTCGTCTGCGCGCTCCCGTCTTGTTCTGCCGGGCTCCGGAACGACTTCTGAGCATGCGCTGTTGCTCTGTCGTGCGGTATATCAGACGCTGCGCGTACGTCCACAGCTCAATGGCTCAGCATTTTCTGCCGGAGTGATAAAACACTGGGAAGGTCTCTATACCATATATACGTTGGTGTTTGATTCTACATCGTTCGAATGTTGCTCCATTGTGTTCACGCTTTCGTGACTGACAGCTTAAGGAAACAAGAGCGTGGCGAGCGCCGAGCATCTAATTACCGCTCATCAGCCAATCAGGATGCGGCATTAGCCGATAAGAACACCGAAAAACCAATCACGCAGCAAGAAGCGTTAGCATAATAAGCCACACTCTTTGTTTCTTAACTTGCAAGCGTCTATACAACGATACATATAAATAAGCAGTTACTCACATTTCTTTTTTCATCCAGTTTTACATTTGTTTGTGCCTCTGCTTTCCTCGCGCATAATTTAAATAACCAATAACCACTATATCCGAAGAAAGCGCGGCTAATGAGGAGTCCGAAAGTATGTTTCGACCCAGAACTGAAGTCTGTGTCGTTACACAGTAATGAAGGCGTTTCTTGTTCCCACGTTTTTTTCTGCAGTGTCACATCGCGGGCTTTATTTTCTGGATCTATAGACATTTTCCCAGAGTCGTCATTTGGCGCGCGTTATTCGTAGAGTCCACTGATTTCTGATGTCGCCAGCAATCTGCAAAGGCTTCGCACCAACCCGACCACAGCCTTTGGCGGATTGCAATTTCATTTAGATCGTAAATATGTCACTTAAGTATATATTGCACTCTATTTCTGTTCTTGTGTGCCCTAATACGCTGCATTGTATTCTAATTCAAGTTCCGCACAACGTCCGTGCGGAATGTTCCGACGACATTTCATGACTCGCGGATTCCATCAACTCGGAGCCTAAGTTCGTCTGCTTGTCGCACAGGGGTTGCGATGTTGTCAGAGCGCCGAGCTCTTATTGGCTGATGCAAAAAAAAAGAATGGGTAGACCTCAAGGCATCTACCATTGAGGTATAACTTTCCAATCAAAGCCAATCAAAAGTCGGCGTCGTTATGACGTCACCGCAACCCCGGCGCAAGAAGCAGACGCCTTACTCCCCGAATACAAAGGCTCAGACCGTTGCGTGCGCAATTCAAGCGTGTCAGCTTGGCCGTTTCGACGGGAGGAAAAATCTGATTTTTCTCAAATCCGACGCGAATACACGGAAACAATCATCAAAGGCAAGTACCGCAGCGGTGCAATCATCCATTCCTGGAAAGTCTAAACGTCCAGTGCGTCTACCTCTTGTTCTTAAAGCAATTGGAAGAGCAAATCGCTGCACTCCACGAACGAAGCTTGACGGATGACTAGGGCGTAAAGAAATTTAGACCGTACTGTCCAAAATAGAGCTCTGGGAGTTCACTTTCCTTGAGAAAACGGAGACGGTCAATCATGGCTAAAATTAGGAGAATAGCAGCAGAACGACCAAAATTATATTTCGATTTGGTTTGAAAAATGCGATGGGCATGGTACAATGTAGACTAGGTGGCGCAAGCTACCACCCGTTATAAAAGGTAAGACGTTAGCATCTATCCCTCCATCCGAGCGAAACGTCACGCTCGTAGCTTTTGGGCTCATCAGATTTTTTTGTCTAATCGTATTCTAAATTTTGTCATTTGCTGGGATCATGAATGGAATTCTGGAACTGTTCGCAATGATCGATATCTTGGTGTTCTGCAAAAATAAAACTGACAAAAAAAATGTTTGTTTAATCTGCGCTTTGACATTGAGCACGGCGTTTCAGGTTCTTAGGTGATCAGTGTAACAGCGCAAATTGTTTTGTTTTTTTTGGTGTGTGCGTGTGTGTGTGTTGGGGGGGGGGGGGCGAGGGAGAGGAGGGCGGAGGGGGTTAAACATACTTTTAGTCTCGTTGTTCAACAAGCTCTGGCCGCATATTTCAACGACGGCCCCAGGGCAGTGAACAGGAGGCTCCTTGGTCGGCTGCTAGTCAGCGTTGCTGGTGGCCAAAATGAGCAACTTTGGGAAGGCCTAACAAGGACGCGAACGCTGCGTCAGAGTACGGCAGAACACTCGGACGTGCTAGCAGCTCGAAATCGGGTCCAATGATTGCAGCCGCGGGCCGTTGCAAAGTTGCGAAAATCCCGCATAAGATGGCGCCTCCTGTTCAACCAAATTTTATTGCCCAGGGGGTGTTCGCTGCCATTTTGAGCAACGCTGGCGCCGCGTAACCTTTCTGCCATGTTAGGGTGTGCTAGGGGCACGGCACTGAGGTGCGTGAATGTGGACCAACCAGGAAATGCAGTAGCCACGACCAGTTCTTTCTGTGTCGTGTGGGCATGTTAAAGAGAAAGACGTTGGCGCGTCCAAATGACGCAAGACGGATCGGTCCGGCAGTGGATTGCTGGACTCTCTCGGACAAAGTTGTGTTATATCTGTGTGCAGCCTGACTTCCACTTCTTGCGGGTAAGCAGTATGCACTGATTCCTAAAGACGCCAGTGCAACGTGCATCTTGGTAGCGGATTATTTGACCCTTCGGAGGAGAACTGGCTAGCGGCAGTGGGGTGTGAAAGAAGCTTCTGGCACATTCTCATATGCGCTTTCAAACTTTAGATATATTTGCTAATTTTTCGGTTTGTTGTCGGAAATTTTATTCAATTGTTTGTTCGCTTTCTCGGCCGTAGACAGCACCTGCCTGTATCATAAAGAGCTTTTAACCATCTCTCGACGCTCAGTGGTGTCGATTCCAGCGATGGACGACTGGCAACATTGTACGACAAGCAGCGGACGTCCTGGTTGGAGTGTAGGTCCCCCTCTTCTCGCGGCGCGGTTCGAAGTTAAGCCGGGATCACACTTGCAAAGAAGTATTGGCACACTTGACTTTTGTGATTGCCTAAGTGTCAGAATCAACTCCACGAGTCAAAATCAGAGGTGCGAGAATTATATAGCGCTGCGTCATTCATAACCTTCTTTGCGCTAAGGTTGACCCCCTACACACCGCCTCTCCTCGCAGTGTTGAAGCTATAGGCAGGATGCTGCGCTATTCACTTCGAAGCAGTATCCGCACACCCCTAAAAATAAAACATCGAAACATACCTGCATTGAAGAGAAGGTCACATCCGTTGGAATATAGCTGGGCCAGAATGGCCCAAACGGTCGCGATCACTGCTTTCATGCCGGTGCTTGGATGGATCTCGCGGCGTCCTCTCTGGCCGCCGTTGCGGACCGCTCTGGCAGAACGGAGGAACGTCCCGTCGATCAAGTGGACGGACTCCCCCGCGTATCTTATCGGCCGCAGGGGCAGCATCGCACCCGGCCCGTACCTAGGTGCTGCCGGGTGCGCCCCAAGTTCCAGCGTACCGAGTGTGCTGAAAAACGAGGCCGAGGCCTCCCCTTGGTTAAACATCGAACGCTTTCAATGTCCCACACGCACACGTTACCTCTTCCTGCTTACGGTAATCTACACTTATAAAAGCGTCGGGAGCAAGCCAATTGGGCGTAAACGACATGTCATGCGCAAGATCGTGACATCATGCTGACGGTGATTTCTACTAGTCCATGCCGAGAAAAACAAATTCGGCGGTGCGAAATGAATACTACTGAAGGTACTTGCTCAACAGCAAAGTCTTCACAATGGCAGTTGTTGTAACGTCAGTGCAGCTCACGTATATGATAAAGTTAACGCTGTGAATAGGAGCCGGATTCTTGCTTCGGCAGGCTTCCGGAGGTTTGGTAATATGTCCGTTGCACCTGATATTCTACGTTCACAAGCATTCCGTCCATTGTACTCTACAGAGTTTCGTAAGGAGCCGTGACTGATGTACTTCTACTAGCTTCGCGGAACGTTGCTGTCGCGATTGGTCTTCAGGGTTTACATAAGGTTCCAAACCATCGCCGCCATATATCTCGCCCTTGCTCTCTCGTCTCGTGTACATCAAAATCGCTTCGAAAAGTTTTAAACGTGCTATCCTATAAGAAGAAACGAACTGCGTGTATGGGTAGCGTTCCTCGAAAATCCTGACGCCTGGCCTCAACCTTAGTATATAGCGGCTATAAGTGAAGATGACCGTATGGACTACGATATACCTCACCGTTCGTAGCATAAGCACAAAGGCGATCACGCGCAGTTGTCGGGGAAAATCGCTCGTGACACCCGCAGTAGCACCCGAAGAGCAAACCCAGCCACGCCACGGCCATATTCAACGGACGCGAGCGAGGACGCGAGCACTCCGCACGCGACGTCGTCTTCTCGCCGCGTTCGCGCGTGACCTGACCGGCCATCGGTTTAATTGCGCGCTCGCCGACGTCATCCCATGTTGCTCTCCGGCGCCGGTCGGCCTTCCACCATACGCTTGGGCGCGGCGCAAAACGTGAGGGCCCATTTTCCGCGCCACTAGAAGCTCATGCGCGCTCATTCGGCGTTATTTCTAAAGGCACGACGTCTTTCTCGAGTTTTGTTTGTCTGCTGTCTGCCACTGTGACCTGCCCCCATCCCCTGTTCCGCGAAAAAGAATGGCAAAAACAAAAAAGCGGAAAGGTGGGCTAGTTGGGGCATTCTGCAAAAATAAAAACGCCCGGACAAACAAAGCGCTACTATCAATTAACTTGAATGCAGAAAAACACAGAAATATGTCTACCTTTTACACACACTGATCACGCAATGAAGTCAAAGTTTGTCTGTTTATGTTAGATGTAACCATGGTGCACCGATACATTTTGTTTTGTCTGAAAGCCTGTTGCTGAAAGTGTCTAAAACTCTTGTTTTTTTTGTTTTGTTTTTTTTAGCTTAGGCTGGAAGCAACATTTGCGGCATTGCACCGCCGAGTGGTCTGATGGCGTTCGCTTTGTTAAAATGTCATGCTTTATTGCTCTTTCTTCCGGGCATCTGCCGATTTGGCCAATGTAAACACGCCTACATGTAGTCGGAATCTGATAAACCACCGACGTTGCGCATATTTTTGTTGGCATATGTCTCTTGTTGCATACATCACTTGCTTCTTTTTCGTTATTGATTTTTCGACAAAGGCCCAGCCCCCTAGAAAAGTTTGCTATGGGGCTGAGAACACAAATGGAAAATAGAAATTAGTGGCTACTTTTTTCAAAATGTGGGAGAGCCTATGGATGTAGGGGAAGGCGGCTCTTTGTATTTTTCTTTTGGACAGGAGCAGCATGATCGGTCCTTTTTAGCTTAGTCACAAGGCTATCGGCAACATCCACCTAGAGAATATCTGGATAGCCCGCTGTTTTTAGGCAGTTGATCAGTTCCTGGGAGCTAAAATCTGCGGCATGATAGCAAGATTTGTTCAGAGCTGCTAGCAACAGGGAAGACGTTATTCCTCTTTTCACAGACTTTGAGTGAGTTGAGTTGAAGGGGAAGAGCCCCTGTTTTGAACTTAGATGGTATGCCCATCACACATGGTCTTTTTTGAAAATAAAATTTAAATATAAGAGCTAGAGTTTTCCACATGCCATCTCCTGGTACGTCGACGTCAGTCCCTGTACGTTACTTACAAAGACTTCCATCAAAACTCGTGATACTCTCCTCGATCAAAACCTGGGGAGGGGGAGCAAGAAAAAGAAATTAAAGAAAGATACACTGGTGGATGCTTAGAGAATGCATTAGCATTACTCTTGGGATGCGCCAGACACGTCGCCCTTTGGGAAGCGCTAACGCTGACCCCTTTGCTTTTCTGTTTTGGCTTTCTCTTTTGCTTCTTCTCTTTTTACTGCTCCGGTTGTTTCACCCAGCGGTGGTCCCGCAATCCCTCGCTCACCGCTTCTTGTTGTACCTCACCACCGCCACGCCGACACCAAGGGGGCTATGTTGCGCTTTTTGGACTCCCAGGAGACTTGGAAGAGGGAAGTGACGTCAACAACACAGCAGACGCAGATTGGATGTTGACAGAAGAAAACGAAATCAACACCCAATCTGCGTTTGCTGTGTCGTTGACGTCACTTCCCTCTCCCTAGTCTCCTGGGAGTCCAAAAAGCGCAACATAGCACCCCAAGTCGCCAGAGTCCATAAATCTGTGTTCTCTTCTTTCTTCGTCTTCTTCTGCTTCTTCGGGTTAAGGCTCACATTCATGCACGATAGTGGCACCTGTGATCGGCACAGCACCAAAGCAAAACACGAGGCCAGCCACTGGCCACACACCACCCCCACACCACACCATCGCGAAAAGGCGAGCACGCTAAGCCACCGACCCCGTGGCCGACGAGGAGGGACCTCATACCGCAACGCCCTCCGCGGTGGTGCGGAACTAACTACTCCTGTTTCGAGGCACACTCTCAACACGCTCTGGTCGCTCGCTCCCCGAGAAAGAGCGGCAAGAGTCATCACCTAAATGTGCTTCTTCCACCGTGAATTCGGGCAAGCGCGTCGAGAAATATTTTTCTTTTTGGCAATATACCCCTTTGCAAGTGGGATCCCGGCTTAACCTCGAACCGCGCGCCAAGGTGAGGCGGACCTACTCTCCAGCCAGGACGTTCGCTGGTTGTCGTACAATGTTGCCAAGCGTCTCTCGCCGAAGCGTACACCACTGAGCACAGAAAGAAATTTTAAAAAATAAGTATAAAAAGTACACGTGTTGTCTTCGACAGCGAAATAGCAAGGACAATTAAATAAAATGCCTAAAGCGGTAACAAATCGAAAATTTTCAAAAAGATCGAAAGTCTCAAGGCGCTCTCTTCAGAATGCGCCAAAAGTCGCATGGCCTTTGCATCAACGATGGCTGCGCTCGCGGCAGCTCTGGCTTCCACAACATGCAGGAACAGAGGCTGCGATCGTTATAAAGTCAGCTCCAACCCTGAAAGACGCCCCGTCCTACAATATGTGACGCTACGATTCTGTGTGGATACCTCCTCCTGCGTTCCGAGACAGAAAGTGTGCCGCTAACGTAAGCCATCGGCGATGCAGCAAACGGCACCATCTTGTCATCGCACACCCCAATGACGTGCCCCTGGCGCACCCCAGCATGGCGGAAACGGTACGGGGCGCCAGCATCGCTCAAAATGGCAGCGCACAGGAGCCTTTCTTGCAAACGTGTATTGACGACTAGAGATTTATTTGAAATTCTGCGCGAAGTCCATGACGTCACGGGTCATTCCTAGATGACCATCTCGGTCGTGAAGGCGAAGCCGATCCACGTGCCCGAAATGCCGAGAGAGAAAAAAAAAGGAAAAGGGGTGACTAAAGAATAAACCGCTCCTCGCGCCGTCAATATTGCTCTTTTTTTTTTTTTTTTTTTTTTTTGCGCGCGTCAAATTAGTACTTTGACACGCGTGTCCCAACCAGACTGTTGAAAAAAATGTTTTTGCTTTCCAGGGGCTCTTTAAGGCCACGGTCCCACTGAATGTGGCAGTTTAACTACTTTTTGGCAGGTCATTGCTCATCTCCTTTTCAATACTGTTTTGTGGGATTGATGTCTTTCGAAAGGCAATGCAATCCTCTTTCATTTAATATTATGTACGTATTGGTTTTTACTGTTCATGCGCGTTCGTAGCGTTGCGAATATGATGGTGTGGACCCTCACTTGCTCCGCTAGTTCATGTTTTATGAACGATCCATTAAAGATAGCACGGTTCCAGTATAGCAGTTTTGTTAAGATGATGTCGGAGCAGAATGTAACGATACACTATTTTGGTATTTGCACTACTTTGTTTTTTTATCCCTCCAAATATTGCCCTAAAATCGACATTTTTCAGCACAAATATTTTTTTAATGACAAACACTAGGGCAATGAAATTAGCTGCAGATGTAGTGCTTATAATTGGTAATATGCAGAAAAAATTTATTGTTGTGTAAAATTTTTTTGTTTAGATATTTTATATCAAACGCAGCACTTTTTTGTGCTTCGAGTCATGGTACTTCAAAATGCCGCTGAGGAAATAATTAAACTATGATAAAATCTTTTATAAGATTCAGAGCTACAATGGTTGCCCAAAAGGTGGACGATGGCTTTTTTTAATTTTCAAAGTCATAACGCTCCAGGAGCCCTTCAAACTTACCTGTCTTTGACGCATATCTTTTTTGGACATCAAACAGATTTATTGGCATCTAAAAACATTTATTGTTTGGAATAGATATACATTGCGATGTATTAAATTTTCACAATGATCTTGCTTTGGTTTCTTAATAGGTGTAGAGCTTAGCTAATTTTAACAACAATTAAAAACTGTTTTGGGTGTTTTGTTGCGCTACCTGGCGGATGGCAAACAAACTGCTGATTTCTAGTGTTCAAAAATTTTCCGAGGGCGGCGTTGGCGTCTGTATGATCATCAATCTTCGTGTCTTTTTACCTTCATTATAAAAAATATATTGGAAGATTTACTATCGATAAATGAATGGTTTAAGTACTGGGTCAGGTTAATAAATCTAAGACAAATAATTACACACGCGTGGTGGTGGTGGTGGTGGTGGTGTTTGCCTGACGTGAGGTTTTTCTCACTGGCTGTGGAAAAGTTTCACGGGCTTGGGTTATTGCAGTATTGATGAGAATGAATGCAGGGGAAAGGAGGGGGAACAGATGGTGATGAGAAATATAGGGTGACGCGTAGCGTGATATAATGTGTTCATTATTCGATATGATTGAAATCAATAAACAATAAAGACGAAGAGAAAAATAATACACCCGAGTTCATTTTATGCCTAGAGTCACTAAATGAGCTTTAAAGTATTGGCACTCCGTTCCCAAAAATTGTTTTGGGCGCCGCCATTTTGGGTCTTGTTCAAAGCAAACGCAACTGCCGATCGTCATGATCCAAAAGTACGACTTCCTCGGCATTAGATGCGGTGCTAGGACGCTGATACAATATTGCAATGCTCTGTCGCGGGTTGTTTAAACATTTGTGAGGGACGGAAAAGCGTTTCCTGTGATTTTAGATAAAGCTTCAGGTAACTGACAACCATGGTTTTAAGCCACGATATAGCCAAGTGTCGTTACTATGAACCGTAGCTAATTTACTGGCACAAGCGGGAACAATGAGGAAGAGGCAGGTGTCAAAAGGTAGAGGCTTGTGGAATCCACGGGGCTTACGTCATTACGGTATTACGAGCCTCTTGAACAAGAGGCTCGTAATACCGTAATTACGTCATTACAGGCTTACGTCATTACAGGTATTACAAGCCTCTTGAACAAGAGCATGAATAGTGTCATTAAATAAGCTACGCGTCAGAGTAGCG